AGGCAAGCGTTGACTTTCTGTGTATATTGAGGAAGTTTATAGCCACAAGATGTTAATTTAGCGATAACTGGTACTTTCACGGTCGGCGAGCAGGTTGAACGTAGGTGTGGACTCTTGTGACTGACAGGTGTTGCAATTCTAATTGTCCAAGTATGACTGTGGACAGTTTGTAAAATGTTACTGGATAATTGTGTGTGGGGAACGACCACTTCCTCGGCAGGAAGTGAGGGTAGTGTCAGCGGACTGTCACGGGGGCCATGCCAGTGGTGTGGAGACTCGTTCTGCTTGGTCCCTTGAAGGGGTAGGGGGATCATACAGAGCCTGGATAATTAAAGGTAAACAGGTTTGACCCAAGGAAGGGAAGGACAAGTTTAATTCCTTCGATCAAGAGTCCCTTACCAGCATCAATACTAATGAACCCAGGAATCATTCATACATAAGCATACATACGCACACACAAATAACAAAAAAGGCACAATACCGTGACTGGAACGATACACAAATAACCCGCACATAAAAGAGAGAAGCTTAGGACGACGTTTCGGTCCGACTTGGACCATTGACAAAGTCACACTGTGACTGTGTCAATGGTCCAAGTCGGACCGAAACGTCGTTCTAAGCTTCTCTCTTTTATGTGCGGGTTATTTGTGTATACGCACACACATATGTAGACGAATGCATATTTTTGTATTTTACTGTATTATAACTTTATGAGCGTCCTCCACTATTCCTTTTGCATGTACTGATGCGCAGGTGACCTGGTTTATGGAAAACCGGAATACTTTTCTCAAATCGTGTAGCGACCGGGACATTTTTGTCATTATTATTATTGTCTGTTATTATTACTGTTCTTTATTTTGAAGTACTAAATATGCTTGAATCACTGAGAGCAAGTAGCTCAATCCTCAGCTACCTAAGTGCACAATTAACATCATTAAAACTGGTCAGTAATTGCTAGCTACCTCCTGGTTATTTCTTTTGTGAATCAGAGCTGTATTTGCGGCCTCTCACGATGATGACTTGTAACATGAAGACTTTGTAGAGGTGAGAGAGGCTTGTTCCCGTGGAGCCCGAGGAACAAACTTGAACCACCCGATACCTTTCTTCGTAGCCTGTCCTGTGCTCAGGGATTTTAAGAGCTGAACTTCCTGTTTCTTGGTCTCCGCCATCTTGGACAAAGTTCTCGCAACTAACCATACATTTTGTTATCTCCTTCCCGAGACTTGCCTCATAGAAGTGAAACACTCAACAGTCGGCCAGTTTTTCTTGACTGCAAACTGTGACAGTTCCATTCTTCCGAATTTAATGTGAAATTGTGTGCTCGGGCAAATATAAATCTTTTGTTAAAAGGGGATTATATGATTTTTTTTTTCTACCAGTTAGCTTTTTTTCTGCTTCCTACCAAGAGATTGCAAAGATTTGATTTTCGGAGTGTATAATAAAATGATCAGACTTAACATTCGCCCACAGGCTTGTCTCTGAAGATTTCTGTTATGGGTAACAAGATGCTTGTTTTACGTAACCTCGTATTTGGCTATCGATAGCCAAACCAAGACTTGTCTGAAGACTTGGTTACATACTGCAGATGAGGAATGTAACTGTGCTGGAGATAGATACGATTAGTAAAATCAATGTTTATTTAACATCACCCTGGAGCGATGAAGCCCATTCACGGGTGGCAATCTTCCAGCATATGGTTAGCCCCGGTACTGTCTCTCTTCCTATCTTTCCCCCGCTGTATATTTCACCCCTTCATAATTTCTTCTCCCCCTATCTCTCTAACTCCTCCTATTCATCTTTTCTTATCAAACTTACTTTCTCCTCCGTAAATTCCTGATATCTGTTGTCTACCAACAAAGGAATAACGTGAGAATACTTTGCGCGAATTAGCTAGTCAGAAATAAATTTAAAAAGTCGTGTAATACTACCTAGACTAATAAGTTTATTGACACGTATAGTATTAGCAGCTTCATTAGCAGTAATATATGATCAAGAGAAGTTTGCGAACTCTCCCAAATCTAAACATTCAAGTTTCCCGTTTTTGCTCTTTCATCTTTTCACTCCCGACTTGTTTCTCTTTAGTCCATTATCCTTTAGCCAACAGTCAATTGTTTTGATTTCTCAAGGGTCTCTATACAAGATTTCTATAGCGGCCAGATATTCTTCCCCAGCAGGCGGATCTCTGGCTTTCAGTCTTACCTCATTACACAGCCCGCAAAGGTTTGCGATGAGGGGTGAGTTAGTCCAATTAAACACCCTGGTAGGTATTGGTTAGCCACAGCGCTCTTCCTCTCTCTTCACCCTGTTATTACCAGCCTTATCTCGCTAACTGCTGCACCTCTGAGAGCTTCGTTAATCATGCACGAACGAGAAAATTCTTGCGTTTTGCCTCCTCCGTCTACTTTGACTGACAGAACGAAGGCTGCACGCCCATTTCTTCTTCTTGTGTTAGTTGGAAGAGGGGGGGGGGGTTGTTTGTGTGCGTGTGACCATCTTCACAGTAACATACTATGTTCTGTTCCTCTGTTAATTGCAGATGAAATGTGCCCAGCAGGGAAAGCATTCTCGTGCACACCTTAAACAAAGCTTTATGGTGAGCACAACCAGGCAGCGTGTCTGGCGATTACATGACGGAGGATCGAGTCTCTACTACTACTTTCGCTGGTGGATTACCCATTTGGGTTTTCCGATTTACCTGATTAAAAATAAACTTAAGATTTTATGCCAGTTTGAAGTTTTAGATCTTATCGACGTTTATAAAGTTCTATTTTAAATCCCTCAATATTATGTAAGAGTAAACACTTCTTTCAACCGGCTAAGAAAATCACTGCACCTTTTTCAAGTTTAGAAACGAAAAACTAATTAGAAACGAACCATGGACCTTATATATTTTTTTTTTCAGAGGGAGGGGTAGAGGGACTGGTCTGACTGACTCTGAAGCTCTTGTTGTAATTATACACTGGCGAAGGGCGTAGACGTCATTAAGTCATTAAGGACGATGATAACCAGGCTCCAACAACCAGGTTCAGACGATGAGGAGTGAGGACGAACACTGACCATTCCGTAGAACACCGAAGCGTTGTAGCCAGAGCTGCCAACTCTCCAATTACAACCTGATTTTTAACATTTCTATCTTCCGTATAAAAAAATAGCGCTCATTATATTTCACATTATTCTCATTTGTGTCTTAAAGAGGTCTTGAAGGAAGGGACAACATCCTTTCATTTACAAATCAGTATTCTTTATTATAGTTGACAGAGTTTTTGATGGGTTAAGGTAATAAATTGTAAAGAAAGCCAGAAAAAACACTTTGTATATATATATATATATATATATATATATATATATATATATATATATATATATATATATTATATATATATATATATATATATATATATAACTGTAGAATATCTTCATATGTATACAATGAAAGCAGCCGTTTAAATTCGAAGATGGGTATGTATCTCACCATTAACATGCTTAGATATTTACTGTGTAGCCTGAAATACGCTCGTGGAGTCGATAGGTGTTAAATTTAATAAACCAACCAACCAGACCAGATCAATCCATTGCATCAACCATACTCTGTGCATAGCAGTTCCACAGTTTTCCTTGTTACTCTTCAGTAGAAGCCTCTGAAATAAGTTGAGGTAGGGAAAGTCATCCTGTAATGTAAACACAGAAACTCTGGACTAATTAACCCCTGTAGAGAGAGAGAGAGAGAGAGAGAGAGAAGGCTGCTGGAGGCAAGGGGAAATGTCGTATTTTAGGTCAATGTGGTGCGAATATTATGCAAAGCATATAGAGTGAAGAAATTAGATGACTATAGTATGAAAGCTATAATTCAGAGAGCAGAAGAGGGGTTGTTGAGTTGTTTGCCCATGTAGAAAGATGGAAGTAAGATAAGCTAATTATGAGTGTGTATGTATCCGGACTGGATGGATGAAGGGGTGGGGATGTCCGAGGAACGGCTGCAGAAATGTAAATTAGGTTTCGAGAGGCATGGGTTCGAGCATTGAGCATGGGTTTGCAAGAGAGAAAGATAAGAGTGGCGACTGTGTATCGCTGGGATTCAACATGGTGTTAGAGTGAGAACCTGGCAATAGCTAGCAAAGAATGAGGGAAAAGCAGGTGGCCTGATAGTTTCTTTGGTAGAAAATGTGGAAGACGACTTTGCTACCCTTCGTCGCTCACTGATGAGCTGGGATTCGATGTCTTCTTTGACCAAAAGGTAAAAGTAGAAGTCTGAAATTGTCCGTGACCAAGCACAACCACCTTGAAAGTGGTTAGAGCTTCCTATGGACAAGGCGACAGATGAGTATTTAATACTCATCATGACCATGGAAGACCAAATAGGTTTTTGATGACCACCATGACATGTGAATGTTAATTAGTGGCCAGTGCTGGGTCAGTAACGGGTTACGTAACAGCTCTTAGTAAAGTGGTTTAAAATTGAGTTCATTACAACTATATAATTTTGACATACTAGGCAGGTGGTACACGTCCCTCGACCATCTGTAAACCACACTTACCTGGCAGATGGTGTGTATGCCCCTCGACCAGCTGGAACCCACACTTAACCTGACAGGTAGTGTGTCCCTCGACCAGCTGTAACCCACACTTATCTAGCAGGTGGTGTGCATGTCCATCGACCAGCTGTAACCCATACTTACCTGGCAGGCGGTGTGTACGTCCCTCGACCAGCTGTAACCCACACTTAACCTGACAGGTAGTGTGTCCCTCGACCAGCTGTAACCCACACTTACCTGGCAGGTGGTGTGTATGTCCCACGACGGGTCATAACCCACACTTACCTGGCAGGTGGTGTGTATGTCCTACAACGGGCCATAAACCACACTTACCTGGCAGACGGTATGTCCCTCGACCAGCTGTAACCCACACTTACCTGCAGGTGGTGTGTATGTCCCACGACGGGCTGTAACTCACACTTACCTGCAGGTGGTGTGTATGTCCCACGTCGGGCTGTAACCCACACTTACCTGCAGGTGGTGTGTATGTCCCTCGACGAGCTCCTGCAGGTGGTGTACGCCCCTCGACGTACTGTAACCCACACTTATCTGCAATGTTAATATTACACATTATTAACATGACTCCTCCGCTTCTTGTAAATAACATTTCCATACATAAAATTATCACATTCACAAAATGCGCCAAGTACAATATCACATCCACTAATAAACTCTCAGATTACATAATTGTACTAATTATCTGCCATAATGTACAATAATTAAGGTCCCATAAAATTCTAAAAGCCAGTCCAATCAACTGTGGTACATTATTACAATACTTCATATACATTCACCGTCATGTTTAGCTGGTTTTATTAGATGAAGCTGAATCCAAACTGTCAGTTAATTCTGATATATTTACACTATCAATAAAATGCTAACAACTCAATAAGCCATTTTGTTGAAAGGGCTGAAGGCCACACTTAATTCATTCAGGAGCGGCATGTGGCCCCTGAAATTCAGGTTAGGGATCCCTGAGATGCAGCATCCCTTTCACTAAGTTAAGTTACTTGCTTATGCGCTATGGTAACAGCAGGAGAGAGTGGGTACCTCTTAAGTCGACTGAACTAACCAAGGAAAATTCGTCCAGTAGTGCCTCAATCCTTCTTGCAGGTAAGAGGCGGTGTCCAAGAGCTGGAGCCAGTGACCTGCGTGGTAAGAAATTTTTGAACCGTTGGGGACAAAAATAATTCACCTCTCTTCTAGCGCTTCTTTTTAATAATAATCACCTCTCTTCTTTAGATGCCTAGTTACACCAGACAACACGCATAAAACTGCAACACAGACTACGGTATTTACATTAATGAAATAAAATCATAAGGTTAAGCCACTATCCTCTTTAAGAACTTCACCGCATACTGTATATTAAAGCAAGTTTCACTTAAACGAGTTATGGTAAGTCAAGAAGGACTAAGGGATAAAATTATCCTTGATAGGCACCAAGTGTATTCAGACACTGATATCCCTAGAGATGTCAATATGTCTTCAACCTAATTAATTTTCTTAACAAAACAAACACATAAATGTACGAAGCTCTGACACGTCTCCCTCCCACATAACACCCGCCAATATTTTCTCAACACTACTACTAAATATAACACTAATTTTTTATAGGGGTAAGCCAGTGTAAGGCCTCGGTCAAATGACCAAAAGCTCCAGCCTACGGGTCTTCATGACTAACAGAAAACACTTGTCCTGTTTCCCGATAAACCCAACTTTCTCATCGTAGATATTATGAAATTTTGTTTGCACCTCCATCAAGACATAACCATAACCCTTACAACAGCAGATCTCAAAGTCAGGAGCCGAACATCACATGTACTGATTATATATAGAGAAAAGCGCTAACCCCGTAAGTTATACAGCGCCTGGGAAAATGGTAGGAAATATTTGATCCAAGGAAGGACATGTCCAATTCTTATCACCAAGACTCCCTCAGAGGCATCAAAGAACCTCCCATGAGAGGTAATTACCTTGATGAGAGCAATAATAACCTTGTTAAACACTACACAACCTAGTCGCAAATTTTTTTTCGAATACCGACATGAGTAAAATCACTCCCATTAACAGTAACATTCAAAGCTTTATTACATAACTTCCCACCACCACAAAGTTCACTTTCGACATATTACCTAACACCCACCTCTTGTTGCTGACACTGGCAACAGGAAAAACTGGGAGCAGCGTCCAGCGTGGCGCAGCATCAGTGATGGCGGGACTCACAGCGTCATGTATATGAAGATAATTCTCCCGCCTTAAAATTCCCGTGTCCCGATACTCTCTCGTGACTTTACTGACTCTTTAAGCTTGTATACATATACACTTTACGCTTATATACTTATACTGTATACTTATGTCGTTATTTTTCCATCCCATAAAATTTAATGTAATATTTGCATTCGATGTGCGGCAATCTTATGACAATAATAATTGAGGAACTCTAGATATTATTCTTTCGGACACAAATCTGATATTTATATTGCAACCATTAAATGAATTTCACATTTGCTTCAATAATTTCGGTTTCTTCGACTATTCAATTTACTCTGAATTGCTCAAAGGCGGAAAAAATATCCTTTGATGTAAATCTACACATATAAAATTAAAAAAAGTATTATCGAGAGGATTGTAACATGAAAAATCTTATTAATAGCCAATGAACGCTTTCGGACAGTTTCCACTGCAACTGAAGAGGAAGCGCTAAACCCGTAGGGGGCTCCTACAGCTCCCGGGGAATAATGGAAAGCAATCGTATTTGAACCGAGAAAGGTGAAATGTAACTCCGTTTCCTTGAATCAAAAGCACTTCACTAACATCGAGGCATCATCGTGGGAGATAATGAGATCTGCTTATTAAAAAGCATTTAATGTAATAGGAGGTAGCATTAAATGACCCATACAGGTGAAGGCTTCTCATGGAATACACTAAAGCAATAGGAATATATACATCTCTCAATAATGGGGTTTGAAGCCTATCTGCTACGCGAAGGTCACCAAATCTGCATTTAACCTGTTGAGCACCAGTCAAAAATACTTGAATACGTAATTTGAATCAGACCCTCAGTGTATTTTTACATTGAGACACCTCAGTGTGTATATGCAAATATATAATCCCTATTGAAAGCATATAATCCCTATTAATTAACGTTAGTGTCCAGATGGATTGTGACTTATTAATTATTATTATTATTATTATTATTATTATTATTATTATTATTATTATTATTATTATTATTATGAAGTACTGAATCCAATAAGGGTGATAGAGCTTGAGAAATGGGAGCGTACTTCAAAAAATTTAGCTTCAGTTCCTTGGATCAAGAGCCTTTCACCAGCCTCAAAGCGCCTCCCTTGAATGAGTTGATTAGCCAAGCTCTTGGTAATAATATTGCCAAGTTCATTCAGGTATTTGTAGATAATCTAACTGCTAGAGAGTGATGGGCAATGTATATTAAGGCAATCTGGACGTTTCGCCCTACACAGGGCGACAAGGTTTCTCGTTTGGGTATTCGTGCGCATAATCAAGTTATCAGACTTGCTACTTGTTGCAAAAGGATATTATAGGTGTTAGCAGAGGTGCTGAGCCCCGGGAATGCGCTGGTAATCCTTTTATGTCAGAGAAACCTGGTTTGTTTTCCATGTGATCAGTGGTGTCTGACTGGTTTTTTATCCCTTGGCAGATTGTATAAGAAGCATGCACGATGTTTGGTTACTGGTTCATCACGAGTCTCAGTGACGCTACTTACCGGCTCTTTTCCATTCTTATGTTGGGTTCACGGTCTGAGACCTGCTTAGAGATGATCAGGTCGGGAGTAGCCCTCTTTTATCATCATTACCCGAGCCTCCTACTGGTGCTGCCATCTATTACTAACAAAATAATGGTAGTACAATACTACTATTATTGCTGTAGTTCCTTGTGGTGCATGTCAGGCCTGATGTCTCTTGTTAGTGATTCTTGAATTCACTTGAGGTAAGTCTAGATAACTTAACCTCGATGTTTACCCACGTTCAACTCTGTGTAGCTGATGAGTACGACACATATGCGACAGTTTGGTATCTATTGACAAAACGTTTCGCCAACCCAACAGGCTTCTTCAGTTAATATGCGAAGGAGGCAACAGAGGTGGTGGTGAAGTAGATATGAGGTGATCAGTCCCACTTCTACGTGTCGTTATTGTATACCATTAATATAATGATTTGAATGGTTTGGATCCTTAGGTTCTCTTTAGGATGCGAACGAGGTATATCCTTCACCTGATAGGAAAAAAAGGGGTATCAGGAGTAAGGAGACTTCCTCTTATGTCTCGTCTCGTTCGAGGGCCGAACCTGAATTTATTCGCTTACTCGCCCAGTGCTCTACTACTGTTTTATTGTGGTATACTGCAAAGGATATTAAGCTAATGACTGGTATGGACTAAGCACTTTACGTCAAAGCCCAGAGGATCACAGATGTTTAAACCTGTTTTTCTGTATATCAGCAACTGGTTAACAAAGAGCTAACTGAGATGGGAGCCGGAGGGAGGATGAGGCTGATAATTTTTTATTGTATTCATGGGGAAGCAAGAAATCCGTATGGCTCATACGGAGCCTGGGGAATGGGAGGTAATTAGGTTTTATCCACGGAAGAGGAGAGTAGGTGCGGTTTCTTGAATCAAAAGCATTTCACCAGGAGAGTGAATCTGATGTTAAGCTTCAATATGCGGGTCTAATACCAGTTCTCAGCCAGACTGTTATATCTTGCGCCAACTTCTTGCTTCTGTTTAATATGATGTACAGCCAATTCAAAGCCCTAGGATGCTGAACACTCTGGTAATGCTATCAACAAATCTTAAGTGCGCTAGTGCATTATATATTTTAGAAACTGGTATGATGGCGACGTCTCTGTTTTCTTAATAGCATTGAGAGTGGGAACGAGAAAGATGAGCTTAAGATTAGCATATTTTTGTAGATTGCCTAGTGGTTTCTGAATAAGGTAGCAGTTACAAGTCATAGAAGTAGCCTCAGCTACTCCAGAACCTTGAGGTGCAGTTACCTAACTTGGACCATTAAAAACTCTGTTTAAACTCCAGTAATTATTGTACAACTGTATCTCACAACATAGTAACAATGGTTATAAATGACCATAATTTTTAAAGGGGTGGACCGGTAAGCCAGCGGAAGGCCTCGGTCAGATGACCAAAAGCTCCAAAGGCGGGTCATCATCTGACTAAGACCCGCGTCAGGAAACATTTGTCCTGTTTCCTGACGAACCTTACCTAACCTAACCTGTATCTCACAGTGTATGAATATAGTAGTTTTGGTTAACTTCTTACCGAAGAGATGTGAAGTTTGTAAGAGCAGCTATTTGATATATGAAAATAAATTAATGTACTTTCTACAGCAAGCTATTCGGTTGAAACAAATGTCTCATAAGACTAGCAAAACTTGGAACAACGTGTGGGAACATTGCGACAAGCCTATTCAAAGACTTTAGTGAACGTTGAAGCAAATTGTCATAAGAACGCGCAGGAACATGCCATCCAAAATAAAGTCCACGACACACAATTTTATCCTATCAACGTTACTAAAAAAAAAATTACTGTGGATAAGCTCGTCAATGTATTCACCGTCAGAGGCATCATACACTTAAGAGTCAACACCAAGTTATGATAAAGTTCTATAATGAGGGGAAAATTTGTCCCTAAAAAGCTTCTGCATACTATGTCTTCCTACCTTGACATGTTGACGATACGCCTCTGCCTCCTTCATTGTCTGTAATATCTCAATGAGAATGAGTGTGCGTCTTCAAACCCACTAACCAGTTTCCTCCTTGTCTATATATATATATATATATATTATATATATATATATATATATATTATATATATATATATATATATATATATATATATATATATTATATATATTATATATATATATAAATATATATATATATATATATATATATATATATGCAAACAATCGCAGGCGGGCGATCTTAACTATGCAGGACAAGCCACGGGGGGGGGAAATCTTTAGCTCAAGTACTTTCACACTTCTCAGTGCGTCATCAGGAGCTGTGCAATGTTTCAAGGGAGCAACCAAAGCAGGGAGAGAGGTCTCAGAGTAGCGTAGGTGTGTGTGTGTGTGTAGTTTATGCTCATTTTTTAATTATATCGAATATAAAATTTTCTTTTAAAAAGTAATTTATATTAATAATGAGTCAGTTGTTTATTTTTTATTGAAGACATTATTATTAAGTTGTTACTATAACTTCCACTGTAAGAAGTTTAGAGACGGTTGAGAAGTTTCTCCCGCTGAACATCTCTACTCATCATCTCCTCCGTCAGTTACCTGCCAGACCACCTCTTGTCAATTTACCAGCTGGACTCAACTATACAGGTATAGGGCTGTCTCCAGGAGTCAAGGCGACTATTTTCGTATGGGAGAAAACAGTGCAGGCAAGGGTGAGGCTTTCAGCAACCAGAAGCTTCAAACTGCTCTGCATCGTCCAACATTAGATGAATAGAAGTCTGAATGAAAGTTGTGTCTTAGACAAGGAGTGTCACCATACTCTAGGTAACTTGAAGTTTCTGAAAACACAAGCTGAATTCAGAGAGTATCTTTAATCAAGAATGAAAATTACAGTTGAGTACAAAGCCTAGTGATGCCCCCGTAATGCCATACTCACGCCTAAATTGCTGATTCCGCTTCCCTCATTCTCTGTGAACCTCTGAAGTGGAGTACATTTTCAGCAGTCCGACAGCAAATTGACGAAATCTAAAACTTTAACTTTGCTTGACTCTTGGAAGTTCTTAACTGCATGATACAGCAATTTAGTGATGACCAGAATTGAGAAGGAAATTTAGAGGCTATTAGACCAGGATCCCTGACCAGTTAAACTACCATCGTCGCCACATCTATCACATGAACCTGGCCATTGTTGTCTACTGCTGCACGCACCGCCAGCAATATCAAGGTGAGGATCATACTTAGATGCACCTAGTGTCTTGATCTCTTCCCCTTGGGGAAAAAACTAGACTGGACAGTAAGCCTCTCATATCTCATCACCGCCTCGTTCTCACTACCTCCTTCCACAAAACTCTCTCCTGGTTATTTGTATCTTGTCACATACTGTTTCTCACCGCCTCATCACTTCACCACCCCTTTCTTCCTTTCTTCCTCCTCCTCCTTGTCCTCTTCATCTTCCTCCTCCTCTGTACCAGTTTTAACAAAGTTGTCTTA